CACAGACATCTTATTAATGCCCACGTCAAACACGGCCAAGTCTTTTGTATTCATATCTTACTTACATGTGAGATGACATGTTTGTTAAATCTAGGATAATACGGGAGGGGGCACGTCATCATAACGGTGTATGTGCTCAACAAACTTCCATCTAGCACGTTACGAAAAAAAACTTTGGGTTCAGTCCAAGATGAGGAGGAAAAAAAGGAAATAACAACACCAAAAAATAGATGACCCGAACATCGTCGTGATACCGCGCAGATTCCTACGCTTTACTACTCTAATCATAGACAAAGACACAAACTAGCCCGCTTGTACGTAGCGCGGGCTAGAAATCCTGCTAAGCTCCACAAACACCCGTACCTTGCATGACCAAGCAAAATCCCAACCAACCACAGACGGCGAAGCCCGTTATCGAGGCAAACCACCGATCCATCTTTGCTCCTTCCACGCTTACACCCATACAGTATGTCCATACCAAAAACAGCCCACACGAAATCCATGACATTACATTGTCATACTCCATCTTACATGACAATCAAACCGGCCCGAAATCGAGAAAAAGAAAAATACCGGCCTTATCGTAATCCTAATGCACATAAGCAACCCCCCCTCATAGTCCACCACATTAGGACTCTGTTATGCCCAGACCCAGAAAATCCCCCCGACGTGGGGAGGGGGGGGGGTTCCCAAGCAAGCAAGCAAGTAAGCAAGATCGAATCCGCCAAGCCCACTCTCCTTCCTCCTTCCTCAATCTTAGATAGTTACTTGGCTTGGTATTACCAGAATCCCCCCCCAATCATCCATAATTATGCGCGCTAAGAGTGTACTGTGTATATTTTGTGTGTGAGAGAGAAAGAGAGAGAAAGACGGACTAGAGGGAACGGCGAAAAAAAAGGGAAGGTCGAATAGGAAACATCGGATATCACATCCTCCCCCCTTGTTGGTCGGATAACCCGAAAGGTCCTACCTGAATACGGTACCCCCCGAACTAGGGATGGGGGAGGGTAAGGGGGTTGATAATGTGTAGAATCCCCTTGGCTTAGGTTGTCATCTGTTGGGACCAAGAAAAAAAAGCCCCGAGATAATTACTTTACGGTTGAGCGCGCATTACTACTACTACGGGAACTTTCCCACACACACACACACATACCGTTACTGTTCTTTGATAATTCCCTTTCTCTTGATCTACATGCGTACAACCATCCCCCCCCCCCCTCTGGCGGCATCTTATCGTCTTCACATTTCACCATGACGCGGTTACGACACTAGACAGCACTAGAGATTGATTCACTGCTACTACATACGGGGGCGAAAAAAAACGACAAATGCAAATTATTAGGACAGATACTGGTGGAAAATATTCCGGAGAAGAAAAAAAGGAAACAAACCCGCGCAAAAGAACACACGAAATACTTCGAGAGCCGCCCTTACTTCACAAGCACCTTGACTGCCAAGGCAATGTGTTGTGATTCAATTTGTAGCATGCACAAGAAAACAAGAGAGAGAAAAAAAAGAGCAAGAAAAGAGAAGAAAATGAACACCAGCTCGAGGCCCAGATGCTGTACGAAGAAATCGTCTTCCCAGATCCAAGAACCTCCTAGAAGCCCGCATTCGCTACCGTCCAATTTGTACTTTTTTTATCCACCCACCCAGCTTTTGCAAAAGGAATTCAAGTCGATCCCCAAACACCCCCGCCATCCCAGGTATCGAACTCCATCAAATGAGGATTTTTCCGTCTATACGCATCCGTGCCGTAGGTAGCCTGCAAATGCCACGAATCTCTTAAATCGACCGATGCTGTAAAACTCCACCCATAGCCAATCTTGCCCACGCCCACGCCTACCCGAAAAAACCGTCCCATATCAAATTGCACCGCAAGATACGCGCTCCAGACGATCGATACCTATGTACGAGTGAACTTACGCCGGCGACTTGTTGGCAGGGTTAGTGACGTTGCGCCGATCATCGTTCATGGAAAGAGAGCCAAAGCCGGTTGAAAGAAAGGCAAAGGGGTCATTGCGACCATCGCCACCGTTGGGAGCACCCTGAGCGGGGTAAGGGTCCGCCGAGGAAAAAGCAGCTTCAGCGGCGCGGCTGTCAAAGGGAGTCGAGTGCATGCCACCGTTGGGCACATACTGGCCGCCCATAGGAGGGTAAGGGCTAGCCGCACCCATACCAGAGGGCAGAGCATACGAGCTAGGGGGGCCACCATACTGTTGAGCTGGGAAGCCACCACCACCGTAACCAGCAGGGCCATAGGGACCGGCACCGGGACCAGCGCCCATAGAAGGAGGACCCATGCCAAAACCAGAGGGCGTGTCCATTGGCGACGGGAACGCAGAATCGGCAACGACAGCAGCGCCGGCACGGCTAGCTCCACAGCGGAGGCAGGCAGTGTTCTTTGCAAAGTTGTGGTATCCACAGCCATTCTCACCGCACTTCCAGTCTCCAGCACGGAAGGGAACGACACCAGTACCTCCACGCATGTGTCCACCACCCATTCCGTGACCGTGGCCGTGGCCCATGTGATGCTGAGGAGGACCCATCATACCTGGGTGACCTCCATATCCGTAACCGCCGTAGGCCATGGGATCACCGCCAGGCGGGCCCTGTTGCATGGCAGGGAACGAACATCGGAAACAGGCGGTACGGCGCTGGAAGTTGGAGAAGCCACAAGAGGGGCAGTTCCAGTCACCAGGGCGAGGACGGTTCTTGCTAGGAGGAAATGGTGTGATGATATCGGAGGCACGGTCGAGAACGCGAGTGGACGAAGGCGAGACTTCAATGGCCTTTTCGTTGAGAGCGCGGCCGTTCATGCAAAGACTCTCAGCAGCCTAGGAAAGAAGAATTAAAGTTAGCATGTTAGACGTCGAGCATGATTAATACAATACATACCTCCTCGTGAGAAGAGAAGATGGCGAAGCCGGTGCCAGTGGGCTTGTGCTGGTCTGGGGTACGGAGGGTCCAGAAAGCAATGGGACGACCGCCAAACTGAGTGAACCAGCTCTCAAGCTCTGACTGAGTAGTGTCATGGGGAAGACCGCTCATATGAAGAACCTTGCTGCGTTCGGACAAAAAGGCGCGCACGTCAGCCCTGGCATCCATGGGTTTGGTAAGTACGTCGGGGTGGTCTTGAGGTGGCTGCGACTTGCGGATCAGGCCACGGAGAACTCGTGCAAGTGTGACGGCCTCCTCCATTGCCCGCCGCGGCGAGGCGGGGGCGAGGGCTTGCAAGTGAAAGGGCAGGTTGTGTTTGATGGGAGCCGACGATTGGACAGGCTCCACTTCGAGAGCCGCACAAATGTTGGTCAAGGCGCTGGAGCCAAACGGCAACGACTCGGGGTGGTGTGCCTGCCAGCGCTGGTACTCAGTGCGTAGGTCGAATGTACGGGAGTGCTGGAGGTATGGGGGAAGAACAACGGCCTTGTCCCTAGCCTCGCGCGGCAGCTGTACGCGGAGGTCCCATGAGTCAAGGGTAACGAACGCAAACTCGAGATTCTTGGGGGCAATGTGTTCGGCGTGGAAGTTGTTGAAGCGCTCGATGGCATCACGGAAGGAGCCAGCGTTGCGGACCTGGTCCCAGGTGAGGGTTGTCAAGCTCGCTGTGCAAGCAAGGATGCAGGGTTAGCCGAAGCTCGTCGGGGTGAAGAAGGGGGTGGGTGGGGAGTGAGGGAGGCAAGTAGGCAATAGGTAGGGGAGAAGGAGCAAGACAACGTACTGCACAAGGCTGTGATGGGTGTGTTGACGGGCTTGACGAGGACGGACTCGCGGTGTAGCTGGGATTGGATCAGCAATTGGGGTGCGGGATTGGGATGGGCAAGCCCACCTCTTCGCACGACTTTGCATCGAGGAGAATCCAGCCGAGCTCAATGACCTCTGCTGAATCCTTTGTCACGTAGACGCCGTGCTCGTCACATGTGGTAGCTACGTGAATGACGACGTAGCGGTCGAGATTGGCCGCCTGGGGGCTCGGGGTCGGCTGGGAGGCCATAGCTGTCTGTATTTGTCTGCGAGGGTTGCACTGTCAGTACGGATGCCTCTAGGGTGGTCCAGAGGTCGGTCGAGACTGCGGCGAGGGTGGATTGGGCAATTGAGGTGTTGCAGCGAAGGAAGTCGGAGGTAAGAGGCGGCGTGGGTGGAAGTCGCTCGCAGCGGGTACGTCAGCGGGGAGGTGAATACGGATGAGGTGAGGCGGGGACAGGTGACTGCTGCTCACTGCAAGTGAAGGGGAGAACAGAGCAGAGCCTCGAGGTGAATGATGGAGCGAGGGTAGAGGTGACCCGGTGAGATGAAACCAGGTGCTCTGTGATGGGGACGGACGACCTGAGGCTCCGTGCAATGATGCCGGAAGATTTCTTGACGTGGATAGCAGAGCTAAGGGCACAACGTCGAGATCTTGGCGGGAGCTCGAGTTTAGTGTCGGACGTGTCACTGGGAGAGCATTGGGGGATATGGGCTTTTTTTTCCCTGATGCTGTTTTGTTTTTTGCGGGTTGCACGGCTATCTCGCGTGTTGCTGTGTGCCTATATGGTCCCTGGACGGGTGCTGGCGGTGTTCCGACGTCGCAATTGGCAGCAATGGGCTCGAGAGTGTCGTCTCGGGCCCTGGGAGAGCATGTACACGAAAGTGTGTAGGGTATATACATAGTTCATGGCTGCATGGCTGCATGCATCCATATATACATAGGAGCATGGCGGGATATCTGCAGCGACGTCGACGCTCATTACCGGTCCCACGCGTGCAGCCAAGGGGAACCGGCGCGTGCCCGTGCTGTGCGTGTGTATACATACGACATGTATGTACAGTGTACATAGTAGCGTGTATGGATGTCGTCGCGTTTGAGTGCAATGGACACGGCGCCATGGTGAGAGCTAGAGACTGGGTAGGGTACTGTGTACATGCATACACACACACGCCCACGCCCACGCCTACCCGAACAACAGGGTCCGGCCATGGCTTGGACGGGGCAGCCCGCTGGCGTGTTATCTCGAGAAGCCATGTTGGACCAGTGGACCAGTGGACCAGCAGAGCTGTCCTGTACTTGGGGTGGGCGAGAGGCGGCTAGGGGCCAAGGGGACAAGGGGACAAGGGGCCAGCACATCATCCCGCCGCCCCCCCTGGCCGTGTGTGTATGTGTGTGCATGTGTGGCCTCTCTCCCACTCCCGCGGCGACGGCGACGGCCACGTCAGCACGTGATCAGCCTCAACCCTCGTGCTCGCCCGCCCTCGCTGCTGTTTCGGCGCAGGTGGCAGCCAATTTCACACGCCGCCAGGCTGGCAGGCTGGCAGGCTGGCAGTTGAGTTTGGAGGCGCGCTCACGACGATCAGCGTCCCCTCAAGCTTTTGCTGACACGGCCGACAAGCACTAGCCCTGTCAGCAGCGCCCGCTCGACGTGGTGTGCGCAACCTCTCCCAGTGCCCGTGGTGCAGCTGCTGTGAACCCCTTAAACGCCGCGCGCGCCCCCCCCTTCTGCCCATCAAGAGATCCTCTGCAATTTATGCACTCCGCTTGTGGCATCGGGGACTTTGCATTGGCGCCTGAGCATCTACCACTACCCACACGAGGAAGGCCCGTGTAGTAAATCGGGACCGCCTGCTTTACTAAGTAACCATGGCCTCTCGGCAACGCGGCTTCCTGTCTTCCCCGCAAGCTGCACCAAACGGACGCGAGTTAGTATTCACCTACCCACTTTTTGAAACAACGGACAAAGAACCACGTCCACCCCCCAAATCTGCCTTGACCCGTTGCTCTCCTCCATGCTGCTGTCCTCCTGACATTCTTCTCCAGTTCCTCTCGCGGCATCATGGGCTTCTTCAAGCGATTCAGGCGTCACAAAACCCCAAAGAAGAACGAATCCCGTCCTCGCAACGACCTCTACGCCCCCGCCATCCCCGAATACCATGGGCCCGATCAATTTGTCCGCCTGCCCGACCACGTCTTGCGTCGCATCTTTGAGCAAGTCTGCCCCCATTCCACTGACGAGACCCTCGACGGCAGCGAGGACAGTGGCAACGATGGCTGCATGAGCTGCGACATGCGAGACCTGGCCCACTGCGCCTTGACAAAGCGACAATGGTATGGTGTAGCCGCCGGTTTACTGTAAGTTTTGCCATTCTGCTCTGTCTGCATGCACATTGCGGCTGACCGGCCTCCCTAGTTACAACAGCATCCGCATTGATGCCGTCCACTACTGCGAGCTCGAGGAAATCTACGCCGACCAGCGCAGGCGCAAGTCGCGTAACGGAGATGAAATCGACGCCCCCACCGAGCGACTCCAGCAGCTCGGCCAGAGTGTCCGCGGCAACCAATACCTCGGCCAACGTGTACGCTTCATCAAGCTCCCCTACATGACGCGCGAGGCTTGCAAAGCCGACCTTGCGCGAACTGTGTCGGGCTGCCCCAACCTCGAGTACATTGACCTCCCAGATGGCTTCTACAGTGGTGACCAGTCTTGCCAGCTGCTGCGACAGGAGCTGCAGGGACGATGCCCACACATTAGGAGAATGAAGTACACCGAGGGTGGCGAACAGGCGCTCGAGTCGCTCCTCCAGGGCTACTGGCAAGAGCTCATCACCGTTGAGCTCAATACGATACACATTGAGCCCAGCATCTTGCGACAGGTCTTCGGCATGCTTCCCCGACTCAAGGAACTTACCATTATCGGCGCTCCATGGCTGAACGACTCCACTTTCCACGATGCCCCTGGAATTCCAAACTTCCCTGCCTTGGAGATCCTGAGGCTAGAAAAGTGCCACACAGTGACTGCACACGGCTTGGCCCAGTTTCTCCACAACCCCATGTGCAGTGCCAGACTCCGAACGCTTGTACTCAAGGACTGTGCTGGCTTCCCAGTAGCATCTCTTCACATTGTTTTGCAGGCAGCGGCCAACCTTCGGACATTAGAGTACACGGCCACGGTCTCGGCATCCCTTCCCTTGGACCCTATCCCGCCCATGAACTCGTACACACTGCACAAGCTCAACTTTGAGGTCGTATCCAGCGCCGCCAACCAGGTCTACCCTCCCGCTGCGTCGTATTACCAGTATCTAGCCAAGTCGCTAATGTCCAACTCGCTTCCGGCTTTGCGACAGCTGTGGGTTCGTGATCCCGATTTCCCAGAAATCCTTACTCTTGCGCCACCAATACGTCCGTTCAGCGAGGCACCGCCGCCCATGTTCAACCAGCCCTTGGAGGTCTACTCCAAGGGTCTCGATGAGCTTGATTGGATCTTTACCTCCATCATGCCTCCCGAAGGCCAGCAACGACGTGCATCCATGTCTGTGGGCCGGCCACTAAGCAGCTACTCGGCACACAAGGGTCTTGGACCCCAGTGGGGCGGAGATGCCCGCAAGAGCATTGTAGTACCAAACGGGTTCGGTGGGTTCCTGGCCATACCTGCCGACAACGATGGGCGACCGAGGAGCGCCGGCCATATGGCACCTAGCGGAGGCTTTGGACACGGCTACTCCAACTCGCTCGGTGGCCGAGAACCCAGCCCGCGCGCAAGCTGGATGACCCACGTTGGTCGCGAGAAGCGAGCCTCGAGGGCTGACTTGTGGCGCTAGTTTCTGTTCGTTTGGACACGCCAGCATCGCACTCTGCATCCATGTACTGCATCTCGCCTGCCCGTCTTCTTATTTACCTTTTTCCCTCGCTCACTTCGATTCTCTCTTCTGGATAGCTGTCCAGGTTCTTCTTTTTTTTACCTTCTCAAACATCATCTTTGTAAGATACCAAGGAACCTTTTTTCTTGTTGTGTGTTTTTACTTTTGTTCTATTTTTGTCGTTTTAGGGTTGGTGGAACACGGGTGCAACATCAGTACGAATTATGGCGACACCGGGCAGAACCAATGAGGGTCGGACGAAAATACCCCTGGTGAAAGGATGGAGTTTCCTTTGTTGGCCATGTGTGTGTACATAAAGAAACAAAGCAAAGCAAGAAAGAAAAATAGAGCGCTTGGTTGCGCGAGACTGGTCTCTCGTGGCTACTAAAACACCACCGACGACTTGTGCTTTTAATATCGAGTGCCGCTTTGTTTTGGAGAAGGGGGGATTGCAGGGCGCACAGGGCCAGGGTTTGTGTATGTGTGTGTGCGTGGTAATATTGCAGTTTGGTAATTCTCCGCTGGGATATTACACAAGTGATTTCTCATTTAGGCAATATAGGCTGTTATGGTGACATACTACTAGTACTTTGCATAGGCAGGGGTTGATATCACATACGCAGACTAGAGTAAGTAGACATGTATGCATAGGGTTCATGTCACTGTCACTGTAGCCAAGGGACAGGCGTAGTAGGTAGTGTCGTGTGCCCTGGGTGGATGCATGCACAACATTGCGATCTGCAGGATCTTGTTGCATGCCGCGATCTGCTTTGGGGAGGGGGGCATTCATGCACACGCCATGACTACGTACGTAGTCGAATAGCGTGCTGTGGCTAAGGCATGGCGGCCAGGCGTCGCGTTTCAGGCGGACGTGTGGCTGGCACCGCCTGCACTGACCGCCCCGCGCTGGTCAGGTGGACGAGTCGTCTAGCGCACGCGCCTGCGTACGGCCGGCCTGCCAGGTTTCAGTCCAGCCACTGACCGTTCCCGCCCTCTCAGGAGGACTACCAAGATAGAACGGGGGGTGGAGAGAATGTTTCGGCTACCTGCCTTGACCTGGTGATTGGATTCAGGTACTTTAATGTCAAAGAATTAAACGCCGCCTTAGCCGTATTCCGCATGCTGCCACTTGTACTTGCTTCTTCACCCTGTTCACATCTCCTCTTTCCCCTCACTCGCTGGGCGTCCTCTATGGCCGTGACGGTGCTTTCTATGTTCTCTACCTCTCTTCGCCCAGGCACGAGGTTTCCAGTCGCACAGCATTCTCCCCTACACCGCCATGGCCACTGAAGCAATGTCCTCGTCTGCTGCCGCAACCGCAGCAGCAGCGTCGACGCAAAAGATGTCTCGCTATAGAAGCGTAAGGCGCGCCCAGGAACAGCATCCCGCGCCACCAGGCCAGTTTTCGCAGCATGACCAGCCTTCGCAGGGCATGTCGACAATGCCTACTATGCCTGCAGTACCAGACGCCCAGCCTCAGAACGATGCGCCACTCAGCAGGAGCAAGAGCCGCTACCACCGCCGACCACCAACTTCGCACGCGACCAGTCCGCAACCTCCTCCCCGCTCCAACACCACGTTTGACCCTCCACCGCCCTTTTGCCCGCAGTCGCCGCCGTATGCTTCCTCGACTGATGCCGACAGTTCCCCACAGCAGACATCGTATGCGGCCAATACCACCCAGCGCCGCCCTCGTACGGCTAAACCTCGTACCCAAACGTCGCCCCTTGTCTACGGTGCACCAAGAGACCAGTCCCTCAGCGGCGATGATAGTGCGAGAGAAATTCTCGAAAAGGAGAAGCAGCGCCAGCGGCAGATGAAGGAAAGACATGATGCAGAGGCACGGGCAATGAGGCAGGCACAACAGGCCGAGTTGAACAGGGCCGACAAGTTACGTCAAGAAGCAGAGGAAGCGGCGCGGCTACAGAAGCAGCAACAGCAACAGCGAGAGTTTGAAGAAGCGGAAGCGCTGCGTCGGCAAAGAATCGAACAAAAGGCAGAGCAGGAGCGTGGGAGACGACTACAGAAAGCCGAGCCGCGAAAGACTTCGCAAAACAAGGACGAGCATCAACATCAAGCGGCACTAGCAAGGCTTGAAGAGCGGTCCCAAAAGCCACCGGCCTCACCCAATGCCATTTCGCCCCCGCGACAGCAAGAAGTTGGGTTTGGCATGTTCAAAAGGAGAAAGGACGAGGCTCTAGGCCTGGATGCTCCAGCGCAATTGTCGGCTGCACCACAACTCAGCCTCAGCCTCAGCCACGAGGAAGAGACGATCAAGCCCGGTGGAGGAGGTGCGGTCCTGGGTATTGATGCGCCAACTTCAGCCGTGAATGCTGGTGACAGGGTATGTTGGTTGCCTCTTGGGCGGGATGAAGTGACTAACAATTGGGGCAGCGTGTTACGGTTGTGTGCAACAAGAAGCGCATTCAACTACCAGTCACACCGACCACAACACCTCTGGATCTGATCAAGTCTGCGTCAACTGTCCTCACAGACCCAATTGACGTTCGCACAGCAGTTATTTCTGAATATTTCACCAAAGTCAGCATCACGCGCCCGCTTCGCAATTACGAATATGTACGAGATGTTATGAACTCGTGGGATCACGACAACCAAAATGAGCTAACCATTATCGACTCGGACGTGGACGGAATCAACCAGGATGACTTACTCGCATACAAAGTGCCCGAGGCAAGGCCCGAAGGCATGTCGTGCTTTATCCAATACTCTTCGAGACCCGGCAAGTGGAGCAAGCGGCTCCTTACCCTGCGTCCCGACGGCCAGCTAGTCATGGCGAAGAACGAAAAAACCAAGGAAAAGGATCTGGAGAACATTTGCACGCTTACAGACTACGACATCTACACAGTGACGCAGCAGAAGCTGGCAAGGGTCAAGCCACCCAAGAAGATATGCTATGCGGTCAAGAGTATGCAAAAGTCGAACATTTTTGCCGATGAGTCGCAGTATGTGCACTTCTTCTGCACCAATGACCGCAACACGGCAAACATGTTCTACCATGCTTTGCAGTCGTGGCGGAGCTGGTACCTCAAGTACCAAAAGGGCGAGGGGTTGAAGAAGAAGTCGCCGGCCATGCGCAATGTGTCTGGCAACCAAGAAGCAGCGACGTCATCAGCGCATGCAAGGGGTGAGTCTGTAGGATCACATTACCAGCTGGGTGCTTTCTCGTCGTTATTGGACATGGACAGTTTCAACAAGAAGCTAGATGAAATTGAAGTGCATAAGCCGGGCGAGTTTCCAGATGACAAGCCCTTGTCGAAGCTTGATAGCAGAGCAATGCATACGAGGAAGAAGTCGTTGCGGGTAAAGCAACCACCCCCGGCAACGTTGATCAAGAGTGCAATCGGCAAGCCCAATCCCTCACAGCCCACGTCTCGACAGACGTCTGGACGACGCAGCTTTGACGGCAAGGAAGAAGAGGCATTTACTTCTAATGGGCTTCTAGGCCGAGGCTATAGCGAGCGCCAGGCTGCAGCCCAGGCTCGTGAGCAGCAGCAGGCGGCCGCGTTTACAGAGGGTCCATCACTGCTGAACGTGGGTCGGCTGGGTCAGGCCGACAGTAGTGTCAAACGTAGTACTTCAACGCGCAGTAACCACCATCGACGGACATCCAGCGACCTGCAAAGAAGTGCTTCGAAACGGGTACCTGGTATGCCAGAGCCGTTGATTGATCTTACGCCGCAGTACCGTCCACCACCACAGCATCTCAACAAGGGCAAAGGGTACAATCCGGGAGCGGGTGCCGGACCACTTGTGGAGAGCGCAACGTCGATAGAAGAAGCAATCAAGGTCCCTTCGTCGACAGATTGGCGAGCGGGCCGGCCGGGAACATCACGCGTACATGGAACATATGGTGCCGGTGGCCACGAGCGCACACGGTCGCTCAAGGGTCGTGGCGAGCCCCTGGCTGCATACACGCAGAACAACCATGGTGCAGCGCCGGAGGATGCCAGCAAAGCATTTACGGGTGGAGGCCTGTTGTCTCGAGCGGGTTATTCTCAAGGCCCTGACGTGATCGGTCGAGGAGTCATGGATGGCAGCAAAGCCCGAGGCCCAATGGTCAACCTGAACCTGAACAATGAGTTTGCGCAGGGCAGCTTGCTGGGTGGGATGCCCGTTGCTGCACCGGTGATTGATCGAAGTGGCAAGTAAGGTGTTTTTTTTGGGGAGGGAGGGGGGCAAAGAAGGGTGGTTTGCAGGCGGAACCACTTCCCAAACGGCACGTGGCGTCCTTTTTTTTTCTCTCTTTCCTCTTTCCTCTTTCCTTTGTGAGCGCGATTTTAGCCTGATATCCCTGCATAATTTTTTTTCTTTCTCTTCCTTGCGGTTTGTTTCCCAACGTTGTCAGCCCAAAGGCTTGTTTTTCAGGTGGCGCCGATGTTGAGGCATGGTGGGGGCGTGAGAGGGATGCCTGGTATGGCCGAGCAGGTGAGGCTAGATAGAGTGGAAGTATTGAATTGATATATAATGTTTGAAGTGATATGGGTCTAGATGCGACTAGCTGGAGACACTGGCGGGTGAGCGTGTGAGGTGAGGGTATATGAGAGATTCAGTTGTCATGGTTGCATGGTGTTGTGAGCTTACTATACAGTACGTGTATGTATGTGTGTGTGTCCGACCAAGTCTCCGATGTCTCCGCCTCCGCCCAAGTTTGGGTCCACTCGACTGGCTGCGGAGAGGGTGGCGTGCTGGAAACTTCACCCCCCGTCGCGCGGGAACCCCGCAATCGCCGGCCTAATGACGAGACGCTGCAGCAGGCGGACGCAGTACCGCCTCGGCATATTAACTTCACAAAACGTGTACAGCAACATGCGCCATGTAACAGTTGCGACAAGAGAAGATGAAGAGACTGAGTAGTCGTCAGAATTGAGCGGCACAAATCGGGACGGGATGGATCGGTCGATGGTCCGCTCGTCGTCTCATTTCCTCGACAAACTGTTGAGTTGTTGACTCGCGCACACTGGCCGGCCACGCTCCAGCCTTGCCCTGCTGGGCGCCAGCCGCGGGGAGGGAACATGCTAGTAGGGAGTGGGTGGGTGTGTACACAGTATGTACATGTCCATGTTTGTACATGGGTGCACATGTACTCTACTCACATGTCGCGAGAATTGGGTACTGTGCATGTCTTGCCAGGACCATGTGGGCTAAATTGTTACTCTAGTTTGCTCGCGGCCAGCAAATGATATGGGCAGCGTCATGGTGACTGCAGGGCCAGCAACGACGTCACCCGCACCTAGCGAGGCAAGTCGGCTGGGGAGCTCTGACCCGAACATCCCAACCACCTTAAACCCTCCCCACGTCGGGGTCTCCCAACGCTCAAGCTCTCAAAACAATAAGCCGCCCACCATCTTCCAGCCCTTGGCGCCGCTGCAGGGCATGTCTGCTGGGTCCACGCCAACCGCTATTACCTCGACTTTTTCCTGTCAATTCTGCTCAAAAACACACACACTCTCATCAATTGCTCTCTCTCTCTCTCTCGCTCTCTGCGGCTGCACCACCACATCTTGTTGCAGACCCGTATCGCCTATTCTCTCCCCACCCCCCGGCTCAGTAACCCAACCGCCCGTCTAGCGCCGCATCCTGCAGCAGTCTAACCAAGTACCGAGCTCCAGCTCCATCAGCCCTGTTTCACCTCTCCTTCTCAATCTCTTCTCTCGAACAGTATCTTGAATCTGCCATTGTGTCTCTCCCTCCTTCCATCTGACCCCACCACACATTCACAATGGCCTCGGGAGCGCGAGACGTGCAGAACCACGTCCTGTTCGAGGTTGCGACTGAAGTCGCAAACAGAGGTAGCTCCCCTCCATCCTGGTCCCATGACGCAAAACCCTAACCAGCTCCAGTCGGCGGCATCTACTCGGTCCTCAAGTCAAAGGCCCAGGTCACCACAGCAGAGTATGGCGCTGCTTACACTCTGCTCGGTCCCTGGAATAGGGCTTCGGTAAGCACTATGCTTGCTCACTGCGATACTTCCTGCTTACAAGTCCATAGGCCGCCGTCGAAGTAGAACCCATTGTTCCCAAAGACCCTGCTCTGCTGGCCACGATCAAGTCCATGGACGAGCGGGGCATCAAGACGCTATACGGACGATGGCTGATTGACGGTGCCCCACGCGTGCTCCTCTTTGACACTGGCACTGGCTACAGGTGGCTCGATGAGTGGAAGGGCGACCTCTGGTCTTCTACTGGCATTCCTTCGCCTCCTGGCGATTCCGAGACCAATGAGGCCATTGTCTTTGGCTATCTTATCGCCTGGTTTTTGGGCGAGGTAAGAAGCAAACATGAAATCAGTCTTGGTACATTTGCTAACTGCTCTTTCAGTATGTCTACCATGAGAAGCAGCGAGCTGTCATTGTCCAGTTCCACGAGTGGCTGGCAGGTGTTGCAGTGCCCCTTTGCAAGAAGCGCCGCATCGACGTGACTACCATTTTCACAACTCACGCCACACTTCTCGGTCGCTACCTTTGCGCTGGCTCAGTCGACTTTTACAACAATCTGCAATACTTTGACGTGGATGCCGAAGCAGGAAAGCGGGGTATCTACCATCGTTACTGCATTGAGCGGGCTGCCACGCACGCTGCCGATGTCTTCACAACCGTGTCCCACATCACTGCCTATGAGAGCGAGCATCTCTTGAAGCGCAAACCAGATGGTGTATTGCCCAACGGTCTCAACGTTAAGAAGTTTTCTGCGACGCACGAGTTCCAGAACTTGCACCAACAGGCAAAGGTCAAGATCAACGACTTTGTGCGCGGACATTTCTACGGTCACAATGACTTTGATCCTGAGAACACGCTCTACTTCTTCACAGCTGGTCGCTACGAGTACCGGAATAAGGGTGTGGACATGTTTATCGAATCACTGGCACGACTGAACCACAAGATGAAGAGCGAGAACTCCAACATGACGGTCGTTGCTTTTATCATTCTGCCTGCACAGACTACCTCTCTTTCGGTCGACTCACTCAAGGGACAGGCAGTCATCAAGGCGCTCCACGACAGTGTGAACAACATTGCCGAGAACGTGGCCAAGAAGCTGTTTGAGCGCTCTCTGACTTGGACAGAAGGCTCGGAGCTCCCTGAAGACAAGGACTTGATCACACCTGCTGATAAGATTCTGCTCCGCCGAAGATTGTTCGCCATGAAGCGCCATAACCTGCCACCTATTGTCACTCACAACATGGTCAACGATGCCGAAGATCCTGTGCTCAACCAACTGCGTCGCTGCCAGCTCTTCAACCACCCCTCGGACCGCGTCAAGGTTGTTTTCCACCCTGAGTTTTTGAACTCGGCCAACCCCGTACTGCCCATGGACTACGACGACTTTGTCCGTGGAACCCATCTTGGTGTATTCTCATCTTACTACGAGCCATGGGGATACACTCCAGCCGAGTGCACTGTCATGGGTGTTCCAAGTATCACAACAAATCTGTCTGGTTTTGGTTGCTACATGGAGGAGCTGATTGAGAATGCTCAAGACTACGGTATCTACATTGTAGATCGGAGAATGAAGGGCGTTGACGACTCGGTCAACCAGCTCGTCGACTACATGTTTGAATTCACAAAGAAGAGCAAGCGCCAGCGCATCAACCAGCGGAATCGGACAGAGCGTCTCAGTGACCTACTCGACTGGAAGCGCATGGGCTTGGAGTATGTCAAGGCTCGACAACTGGCGCTCCGACGAGCATACCCTGCGGCGTACGAAGACGACGAGGAGCCCGACTTCTTCAACTCGCAAGACGTCAAGATTTCCCGGCCTCTATCCGAGCCTGGATCGCCCCGTGAGCGTTCAGGTATGATGACTCCTGGTGATTTTGCTTCGCTGCAAGAAGGCCGTGAGGGACTGAGCACCGAGGACTACATTGCGTGGAAGCTTCCGTGAGTGACGAATGATTACAATGACTATCGACGGACAGTTGCTAACAAGTATACAGTGAAGAGGAAGAGGCCGACGACTTTACCTTCCCACTTACCCTGAAGACGAAGAGCAAGCCCAACTCTGGCGCAACCACACCTACCTTGCCTGCTGCGGTAAATGGAACTGACTAGACGTCTGTTGTTGATGTTGTTTTTATCTACCAAGTACAATGAGGAATGAGTACGAAATCAAGGGAAATTGCATGAAACGTGTCCATTGTTGTTTTCCGTGTCTGTGGTTTTTGGTTTAAAAGACGCGCAAACGGATGCATGTATTTCAATGTATGAGGTGAAGAGAAGTCGTGTGTGAGAATGTTGCATGTAGTAGTGTTTTGATAGCGAACGTCGTACGAATTTAGCCGTTACTCTTTGTATGTAATTGCGAGATACAAACTCTGCACTCACAACGTGACATGTCAATTCACGAAGATATACGTTGATACCGCTGAGTGTTTAGCTCTCTATACTGCGTGCGAAAGGAGTGCCAGGCCCCATATCGATAGCATCACGTTAACCCTAACCAGAGTTCCTTACCCTAAGCCTAACCCTAGCCCTAACCCTAATCCCAAAAATACGGATTTAGTATTCTAATCCTAGTTTTCCTGGCACATACGACCATTGGAAACTGAGAGCTAGCCATCCCGTCCGATCTGGCATATATAAGCAGTTTACCGGCGGATTAGTAGTTAGGTGGGTGACCACTAGCGAATCCCCGCTGTCGTATGTTTTTTTTGATATGCAAATTTTTTTAAAAAAATCTTTTTATCTTTTTACTTCTCCCTGTTTTACGTGCATGGCGGAATTTCTTCCAAGCATTGATCTGAGTAATATAGGGGCTCGGGAAGGTTCGGAGAGTGATGTCCCGCGCAACGTTCGGCCCAGTGACACGCTTTCCCTACTACTTGGTTCACAGACTGATGGAAATTTGAGGATGGCACTGAAATGGCACGGTGCTATTTCCACAGAGGACCACGGCGTCTTTAGCGCAGACCAGCTCTTGAACGATACCATACGCGCTTCCAGTATACTGACGGTTAAAGAAGGCCGCTAGTATGGATTTGTGGATGGGGCTGTTTCAGTTTCCATTGTGATTAGTAGCGCGGCAATTTGCTCCTTTTGAAAGGCTTGCCTTGGTCCAAGAGCCTGGGAAGAATAGTCATGACGACCCTGACCTCGCTGCCATCAGCATGCTTCTCCTAGCCAAATGTTCACGGTCGTAGCATTGCCATAGATATGC